CGGGGTGAAACGGCAGCAGGGGCTGCCAGGCACCGGGGCTGTGATTAACGGGGTGCCGAGCCCCGGGACCTGCCCAGCGCGGGAGATCCGAGCGCAGCGCTCAGGAGCGGGCCGGGAAAGTTGAGAGAGCCAGAGGGGGATTGGGAAGCACTCTCCACATGCTTTTCACCCAAGGTTTTCCTGCAAGAACGGGCTTTTGTGAAGCTTGAGCATAAACATACATAAAAGCTAAGAGACGCTTCCTCCAAGAGCAAAGCCAAGATGTCTACCCAGAGACATGAGTCATTTTCGGGCCCAAAGACGTAAATGAAAATCCACAGATCTGGAGTATTCCTAAGCTCCTTACTCATTCCCAGTTCTATATTTGCTCTAAGGAACTCTCATTTCCCAGCTAAATTATATGGCTCGAGCTGACACTCTCGGCCAAGTTCAAGGTATGCAGAACATCTGATTGCACCCAAATTGGTCAATAGGGCCAGACACAACAGAGCTGAATTCCTCTGGTTTTCCCTGATAACCCGGGGCAGGGAGCTCCAGGCTGCCAGCTCCCCTGTCCCCTTGTGACGCTGTGGGATTTACACGTGGGGAGTGAAACTCCACACCCACAAGACACACAATAGCTGGTTGGGAGCAAAGCCAGACAAACAGCACTCCGGAGATGTTCTTGAGATGGAGCTCATCCCGAGCTCAGCCAGGCAGCCCCAAACCCAAACCCACCCCCAGGAGTTACGCGGAGGAGAGACCTGAAGGGGTTTCTTCCAAATGTTTTCATTCCACACAAATGCCTCCAGCAACTGATGCAACATGAAAGGCAAAAGTCTCCTGAAAAATCCTGGGGAAACCACCTTGTGCTCTGGTTTCAGGAAATGCAGAGCTTCCTCAGGACTGTGCGAGGGTGGAAGTAGGAAATCCCCTCTGCGCTGGGCAGCAGGGACACGCAGGGAATTTCAGGGATGTTCCACCCGGGGCTCTTTGGGTTCTTTTGGAGAATCAATGATTTTCCAGAGGGAAGGACTGGTTTAAAGGTTTTCCAGAACAGACCAGGTGGTTTCTCCATTCCTGCATTTCCTAGCTGGCTAACATTCTCCCTCCCTTTCCTCAGAAGATGATTTGGGATTTCAGCAGAAAAGGGACTGGCTGAGGTCCTTGGGTCACACCAGCCACACTGACTCCATCTAAAGCTCAAGGGATGGCCACAAGGAATTCAGCCCTTTCTTTTATAATTTATTTAGTTATTGGAGATTATAAATCAGAGAAAAACAAGCAAACAAAAGGATCTTTAGGATCTTTAAGGGAACAATCTAAAGCACATGAAAACTAACCTTCATATTTTATGATAAAATCCTTGCCAGGACAATAACTGTCCTGCCTCCAAATATAGATATATATAAATGATTTATTATTTATGCAAAAAGAATCAGTTTCAGGTAGTTAAAATAAACCCCAAACCCCAAAATTGAGTGTATTCCCTCATACTTACAAACACCACATAAAACAGAGGAAGACTAAACATCATTAAGTAAAGCACAAATTCAGGCACAAGTAGAAGAAAACCATGATCTAAATTCTCAAACAATGAATTACTCTAAAAAAGGAGTCTGAGAAATTAACTATTCTTTTATCAGAAGTTAATGAAGCTTACAGGCAGGAGGATAAATGCCAAGCCTGGAGCATGCATGCTGCTACCAATTAACAAAATGTTCCCGCCACTTGTAAACAGTTCATTTATTCCTTCTTGCATCCAAGTAAAACTTGCACGAGTAATTTGAAGAAGGAATTGCTATTTGGGAGAAATGACAAGTTGCTAAAAGCAGTTGGTGGAGAGCAGGTAAGGTGTTCAAAGTGACACCTGCAGGTCGCTCTGGAGGCCCTGCTCTCCGGAGCCAGGTGGCTCACCCATTGTTTTTCCAGGTTTTTCTTCTCCTGGTGCACCTCAGCTGAACAGTGCTCTGTAATTCCTGTGATCCTAAAGCGGAGCTGAGCCTGTGCAGGCCAGGCAAAAGCCTTGTGGGGAGGGGTGGAAATTTCAACCACATGAAAGCAGAAGGGGAATGGAAGGAGGGGTACCGAAACTGTGCAAGGCGAAAAGGGAGCACACAGTTATCCCTGTTACCAGCACACCCCTGTGCAGCCCACGGCAGGGCAGGAGGGATGAAGGCACACTCAGGCCAAGGCAACAAGTTGGCTTCAGTGCACCCCAAAATGCTCAGAGATGTGAGCTCCTGGAGAGGAGCCCAGGCTGCTCCTCTGCCCGGAGCACCATCCACTCCCTTCAGCCCAGCACATGAAACCTTGACAATTCCTGCTCTCAGACTCACAGGATTCTCCTAAAGTTCCCAAATGAAACATAAACAACATCATAAAGTCCTGTTCTGCTCTGAGATACCAGATTTTCAAATCTGGCAGCCACCAGAGCTAAATATGCCAAAGGTGAGGAGCTCTGAAATGAGGCACAAGGCTTGGAACAGGAGAGAGGAGAATATCAACTTGCAGGAGTTAAAATTTATATGGAAGTCTTGTTTCTCAGCTGAGTGTGGATGATAATCCAGACAGACTTCCTTGAATCCACAGTGCCCTGCCAACAGGAAGGGAAATGAATGCTGGGTGCCCAGGCGGATGGGCAGGGAGAGGACAGCCACTGTGCCCTGCACTGCTCCAGCTGCTTGGAAAGGCTCTGAGAGAGAAAGAGGTGGAAGCACAGTCTGTTTTCAGTGGAAAGGAGCCATGGGACACTGCTTCCTTTTATTTCTGTGTTGTGAACAAAGGAACAAGCCAGAGACCCTGGCCTGGGCTAATATCTCCTCCTTCATGCCATGCATCCTGCTTGGATCTAATTATAATGCAATGATAAATAAAATTTCTTGCATGAGTGATCATTCCATAAAGAAATCTCCTTTTCCCTTTCAGTTCAGCTGCTTCTGCAGTGGCCTGAGTGAAAATCAGAAAACCCCTTTTTCCAAAAGGAGCCCATGTGCTCAGTCTGATCAGTGATCACTGTAAAAGTGTAATTATGGCAGTGGCATTCCTGTAAATCAGCACGGATCTCCTCCACGGAATGGGAGCCAACAGATGGCACCGGCAAACCGACTGCATTGAGAAAATCAACATGTTTATTTGGGAGCAAGACATTTCCTAGAACTGTCCCGGGGAGTCCTCCTGCCCCAGATTCCTCCTGGAAAACGCTCAGTAAACAGTGCCTGGGTGTCCTCTGCCACGGATGGCAGTGTCCCTGCAGCTCGGCCCCGTGTCACCCCAGGGCAGACTGCAGCCACACCGAGAGCTGACACAGAGAGGCTCTCTGGAATAAATGAATAAACCTGGAGGAGGCTCATCCACCCCAATTCCTCCTACATTTGCGGTTAGCAAAGGAGCCCCCTCCTCTCTGTCCCTGCAGCCTTCCTGCGCTGACAACGTGAGCTGTCAGAGGGGCTGACAGGGAACAACTCTCCCCAGCTGCTCCTGCCTGCCACAAACACTTGGAAAGCTCAGGAACACGGCCTGTTTGGATTAAGCAGCTGCTGGAGGGGTAAAAATCACTCCTGTAAGCAGATACCAGAGCTGCACAGGAGAAGTCCAGCAGCAGAGACCAGAATTACAACAGAGAAGGGGGAAAAAGCAGAGGGATAGGGAAGAACACACTGGAGATACGTATATGAGGCACACACAGAGGCTCTCAACTGGCATATGGACACACGGCTGTGATAAAAACACATCGTGAACTCCAGGCTACTGCAGGTCGTGTCCTGTTCGGGAGCTCAGCTGGGTGGATGTCACCCCACAGCAACGCCCAGCTTCCGTATGGACACTCGGGTGGCACAGGCACATGTTTCTCAGGCAAGCTGTCAGCACAAGCCTGCTGGTGTGCTTGGGGTCACCAAAAGCGAGCTCTCTCCATGCAAATAGGCAATTTGCACAGCTTTTAGTCGTAAGAAAGTGCTCGACAGAAAGGAAGCACTGACACTGCCGATTCCCAGACTGCTCTTGGCATGCTCATGGGTAACACAAGGGCATCTCCTCCTCGGAATTAACTAACCAGCAGAACCTACCTAAGTCAAAGTGATACAGCAAATAAAACTAGGCCAGTCTGCAGCAACATCAGTGGCTTTTGGAGGTGGCACAAATGCAAATATTGGCAGCAACTGACAGCAGGAAACTGTGGACGAAGATGTGCACAGAGAAGCTGCATTTGCTCAGGAAGGAAGTTCTCACCTCGTCCACATCCCTCTGCACAATCAATGCAGGGACTTGTGTCTTGCACAAGGTGAAGAAAATACTGATGGTGTTACGAGAAAAGTCAATACATTCAAATCCTCTTGGCCGGCTGCGATGTTAATACCGGCTTGTGTGAGCGCCGCGCTCTGCCGTGACCTTTCCCTGTCCCAGAGGGAACAGCCGGGATTTCAGTGGCCAAAGCACAAACCCCACATTCACACCCACGCCTCAGAGAACCAGCTACACCCAGGTAAGAAAATCTCATCATTTCAGGGCATGTCCAGCAGCTTACAAATGTCACAGGACAGGAAGCTCATCTACAGCACCCCCAAAGATCCCAGCCTTTATCCACGTTGCATTCCTCCTTTCCCAGTCCCGCGTTAACCCTGCAGCAGCTGCAGCTTCTCTTTTCCAACAGAAGCCATCAGAAAGGTCCAAGAGGTGAGTGCCCCCCACCCAACACCTGCTGCTTCACAGCAGCAGCCTCAGTGCCAGTTCAATGGGGACTTAATCCCAAATGCAAATTCTTTCCCATTCTGGAAGCTGCAAGGGACAGGTAAAATCTGTCCTGTTCAGCACAGCAAGGGAGAAGTAATGTCCTGCAAGCCACGAGAAAGCTTGGTCACATTGCCAGAGCTCCACTTGTCACACTCACCTAGGTGCCAGGTCCCAAACTCTCCTGGAGAGCTTCTCCTCATTATTTCATCACCTGGGGCAACAGCGGGAAACAACAGAGGCTTGGAGTTCCCTGCCCTGGCTGACAGACACTACATCAGAGCATGCTGAACAGCATCAAGGCCTTTGGGATTGCAGAGAAAGGCACGGGAAAGGGCGCTGGAGATGCCAATTAGATAAACAAACCATCCTGGTGCAGGAACCTCCCGCTGCAAACGGGATGTGCTGCGAGGGCGAGCTCCATGAATCATCACCTGGGGCTGCAAACACAGACCTGGGAAGCACAAGGACAGGCCACAGCACTGCACACAGGGCTGGGAATTACCACCTATCCCCCCAAAACCTGATGGCAGCTCAGCACGTTCCCTGGGCTCCAGGCTGACCAGGACTCAGAGCACCAAGCAGGTCAGCCATCCACAGCTTAAGCACAGGAATCCCTTAAGCTACACCACATCTACTTCTAGCCCTTATCCTTCTTAATGACAAGATTTCCAGAGCTTTTTAAAGTTCTGGTCAGACACTGAATCTCCTGGTCCCTGCCAGCGCTGCCTTTTTCTCCTGGGCAATGGCAAGAGATTCCATGGGATTGAGCCGAAGGCAGAGCAAGTCTCAGCACAGCAGACTGCAGGTAGCCACACCTAACCACCTCAAACACAGCACGGGATAGCCACACCATTCCTGTCTGCTGAATTCCACTGGCTTCACACCGTGCCGTGTCTGCGTTCCCACTGACCTCCCTGTCTTTTCATTTCGCACTCTGTTACAGGAGAAAACCCCTCCAGCCCCAACAGCTTCAGCTGACATTTATGCCAGTAATTTGTTTTTAGTTCAGAAGCCTTGTAAAATTCCTGTAATGCTTCCCAGATGCAAGGCTGAGAACTTCACAGGAGTCAGAACATGAATTAGAGGTGGTATGGAAAATTATTTATCCTGGTGAGGGAAGAGAGCAAACCACAGGGACAAATGCCAGCCTACAGTGAGTGCTGCTACCCTGAAACACGTCCACATGTCCATCCACAGAGAGCAGGCACCAAGAGCTGCGTGCCTGGGAGCTCAGTTCATCCAAGTCCTCCAGAGCTGGATTATAAATGCAGAATATCTAAGAATGACTATTAAAAATCAGCTCAAGCCAAAGGAAAAGAGGCTGAGGTAAAAGGCAGGTTGTAAAAGCTCCTGCTTGTGGCATTAGCAGGAATTCTAATGGGATGTAGCAGGACAATGCTGGAAGGAAGGAATGAAGGCTGAGCTCTGAGCACGGCTGTGGTGCAGCCCCACAATCTGCTGACAGTCTGCAGCACTACCTCCATGGCTTCCATGCAAATTAAAAGCACTCTTGGCACTTACTACACAAAGACTGCACTTGATAATTAAAACCGGTTTGTAAATGCACTTAAACTAGTGCAGAAGCTCATGGAGGTGCATTTAAATCCATGCAAACTGGTTAACTAACAAATGTGATGTGAAAAAGCAGAGCCCGGTCACGTAAGCTCGGCTGTTTGGCCAAGGAGGCTCAGCTCCAGCCTCGGTGACAGCAGATGGGAACGCTGCAGTTCTGCTCAGGCCTGACTGGACTCCTGCTTGAGCTTGGCCTCCCAGCCACCTGCAGACCAGCAAAGCCAAGAGGTGAATCAAATTCTGGGAGGACACTTGCCCACTTTGGTCCCCTTCCAGTCCAGGCTGCCCGTTCAAAACACTTGCTTAATTGCTCTCCCCTCAATTCAGGCACTGCAGCCTAAACATCCCACGAAAACAAATAGCAGTTTACCAGCAACCTGAATACCCATTTGTCAGTATTATTTCAGGAGATGTCAGCTGAACACTGCAACTGACCTCCATGCAGGATTCTACCTCCAAACCTCTCCCGAGATTGCCCTTGAATCATTTAAAGAATCCCAGAATCACTGAGGCTGGAAAAGCCCTCTGAGATCATCGAGCCCAAGCTGTCCCAATCCCCACCTTGTCACCAGCCCAGAGCACTGAGTGCCACGTCCAGTCCTTCCTGGACACCTCCAGGGACACCTCCAGGGACTCCACCTCCCCTGCCAATACCTGTCAGGAATTTGTAGAGAATGAGAGGGTCCCCTCCAAGCCTCCTCTTCTCCAGGCTGAGCCCCCCCAGCTCCCTCAGCTGCTCCTCGTGCCTTGCTCTCCAGCCTTGGAGAGAGTTGCTTAGCAGCAGAGTTTTGGAAATGTATTAGCACACAGGAAGAAATCTGTGACAGCAGGAGATGCATCAGGAATGCTGCAGAGCTCCGGTGGAGACCGTCCCTGAGAGCAGAGGGGCCACGAGACATCGACTTGACTTGCCAGGTTTCATTGGAAAGGCCTGGCTCAAACATCAAGACAAGTCTCTAAAAAGCTGCCAGGATATTACAACAAGCAGGTTTTGAAAGTGTTATACAAAGTTGCCTGAATTGTCATTTTGCTCTAATTCAGTCGTGACCTAAAAATGCAAGTGACAGGGAAAAATAGTGCATTTCAGGTACAGAGTGTGCAGTCGGAGGCAGGTTTGAATTACTGGATTATAAAATAACAGAGCTCAGAAATAAGGAAATTTAGAAGCTGCTGTGCATGAAGTGACGTGTGAAGAACACTCTGTACGTTGGGGTTCGGATTTTTTTAAGCAATGCTTATCCTGCAAAGAACAGTACTCGGACTGAGAGGTTTCCTGAGAGGAGAGGGAATACCTCACCTCACTCCTGTCTAACAGGTATGGAGCACCCAGCACTGGTGCAGCACAAGCTAAGAGTAATTATTTTTTAATGACAAAAAATGGTTATTTTGTAATGACAAACCAACACAGGCAGCAGGAGCGCCCTTGGCTGGTCTGCCCAGCCTGCCCTGCACCACAGAAATCCTCCTGTCATAAACTGCACCCTGGGAAAACAGCTGGCACTGCACCAGGACATGCAGCACAGTCACAGAGTCATTTGGGCTGGAAAAGACCTCCAGGATCATCCAGTCCAACCTGTGCCTGACCCCCACCTTGTCATCCAGCCCAGACCACTGAGTGCCACATCCAGTCATTCCTTGGACATCTCCAGCGAAGGGGACTCCAAACCTCCCTGGGCACCTCCTTCCAATGTTGAACAACCCCTTCTGTGAAGAAATTCCTCCTGATGTCCAACCTGAGCCTGCCCTGGCACAGCTTGGGGCTATCACGTCCTCCCATCCTGCCGCTGGTTGCCTGGAGAAGCTGCCAGAGCCACAGGGAGCCTTTGCACCGGCTTCCAGTGGATTTCCTGAGGCTCCCTAAGGGTTAAAGCCAAGGACTTCTGGAAGATATTAAGCACCAATGTCTTGGCTTCCCTTCTGCAAACAGCAACAAGCTCCAGAGGAATCTGTCATCCCATATAACAATCCCTTTCACTCAGCCCCAGCAGCCCGTTCCCTGCTCCTCGCCGCAGCCCGCGCGTGCTGGTGGCTCCGTGCTGGGCTCTGCTCCGCATCCTGCCCACACTCCGGGGGGAGGCCGGGCGCTGCAGCGGTGCCGGCATGCACGGGAGCTGCACTGTGCACGTACATCCAGCGCTGCAACGGCTCCTGCTCCAACGGGGAGCTGCAGGAGCGCTCAGCATCACGCGGGGACCGCCACACAGCACCTGAAGTGACAGCTGAGATGGAAGGAATCGCCGCTCCTCTTCATATGCCATCAGGTCCATTTGGGAATATGGGATTCTGCACTCGGAAAAATACTTGCACAGATATTTTCCTAACTCTGTAAGCGCTGGGTCTTTTCCTGTACCAAAGTCAAAGTAGCTGGGTATTCAAAACAAATCAAAAGCAACAGCCACACACTTGCAAAAAAGGATTTTTTTCCCCAATATCTGAGATTTCAAATGCATCAAATGCCTTTTTTTCTGTATTTATGATTTCCATGTGCATCATCCTGCTGCTGGCAGAGGCTGCAAACACTGCTCCCTTGACAGCACCTCTGAGATCACAATTAGGAGGTGACCATCACCTTTAGCTCTAGGATTATTTTCAAGGTGCCAACAACACTACGGGACCTGGAGCACACTGAGTGGGGCGGGTCGAGATTTTGCCAGGGAAGCGAGGGATAAAGCACCATGCCAGATCTAGATGATGCACCGAGGAATTTTTAGACGCTGCGTTTGCAGCAGGAGCCTTTGTGCAGTTTGCCACGATCAGATGGCAGTTTCTATGGGAACAAACAAGCAGTGGCCCTGTCACAAGATGTCTTGGAGAGACACTGATGAAGGCACCGAGTCTCAGGAAAGTTTCTTGTGCTGCAGTGCAGCCTGGCAAAGATACTCCAGCTCGGGTTATCAGCTTGGGAGGCAGAACTATCAGGATACACCCCAAGTATTTTCAGTACAAAGTCAGTGCAGTTGATACACTCAAAATTTTGAGTCCAGCCTTTGTGTGCACATAAAGCTTTGGAAGGCTGTAGTTTGCCTCTCAGACGTTCCTCCATCAATAAAGATGTTTGTTACGTGCCACAAAACTGGAGTGTTTGCCTCCAAAAGCAACAGAAATGATCAAACTAGTGATACAGTATTTTTTAGCTTCAAACATCAGAATTTTCATCAGTCACAAGACTACAGCAGAAAGCAATTTTCTTCTCAAAACCACTGCTTCTATTCACCATCCCCACCCCTTAAGTTAATTAAAAATCCTTCAATTAGCTGATTTAGGGAGGGTTAATGTTATTGTCAGGAAGACCGGTTCCCCTGGGCCTGAAAACAACTGTGGCTGCCTCCAGCCCCCGATTACACAGAACATTTTCAGACTCAAAGGTTCCTGAGTATCACCACCCCTCACTCCAGAACTGTTATGAAATGGAGTGGAAATTTTTAGAAAGAGAAGCCAAAAGTGAAACTGTGAGGAATGCAGGCTTCAACACATTAACCCTCAACAACCAAGATAAACCACATCCAAGCCATGGAGAGTCCCTTTCTCACCCTCACCTTGCCCAGGCTTTGCAGGAGCAGCAAACCAAATTGTGCCAGCTTCAGTAGCATGGATTTACCCCCAGCTGGGTGGGAGAAGCACCCAGCCTTGTGCCTGCCCTCAGCACAGTCTGTACCAGCACGAAGGGAGATGAAACGTTGGCAGCTTGGGTCCAATCATAAAGTCTGGCTTAAAATAAACTGATGTTCTACAGTGGTATTACCTGAGTGAAGGCAGAAATTCCCTCACTCAGGGAATCTCATTCCAGCTTGCTGAGGACAAAACACCCTTGCAGTCATTTCCACTAAGACAGTGATGTCACAACACAGGAGCTGCCTCTTGGAACTTCAGGAAGTTTCTGCTCCCCCCAAAACCACAAAGATTTGCTTGAAATTTGAATTTGTTTCATAACAAAGCAAGCTTGACAGAAGAATGTTCCACAGCAATAACTGCACGGACCAACTTGTTAAAGAATCACCTTTCACTTGGGCACAGATCTGAATTACAACACTAGAGAAGCCTACAAGCCACTTCCAACAAGAGTATCTGATTTCCCTTATCAGCAGAAATGACTTAAACCCACAGATTACACGCTCAGGAGCTGAAAACCTACTTCAAAGCCAGCCGTGATCCAGCCGTGGGCTCTCAGGGCTGCGTGGTGAGAGCAAAAGGGCACCCAGGCACTGCCAGGGCTGCCAAAGCCAGCCCAGAGCCCGGCTCACACGCAGGGCAGCGACCTGTGACAGAGCCTGCCTGCTGCTCCATGGCAGAGGATGGAGCTCGGGCTCACGGATCACTTTCTGGGCAAGCTGCACTCCGAGGAGTGAATTCAGGTCTGCTCGGGGCAACTGGAGCATCCCACTCCCCACTCATCACCCCGGCGAGGCTCCCAAATGTCACACACGGCCATTAGCCCCAGGCTGGTGACAGCACGTGGCACAGGGCCAAAGATCAAACAGCAATGGGTGCCACTCTGATCCCTGCTGCTCCACCTGTGCCAACAGGCAGCACCAAGGGCTCAGGTGCCCGGAGACTTCGGAGGGAGATCCTGCCCTCGGCACCAACACGGCCCTCACGTGTGACAAGTAACCATGGCTGTCACCACCTCTCAAAGTAGGGGACAATGGAGTATTTTTGGAGCACAGACACTGCTATTTTGAAAGCACTTCAGTGCTGTAGTACCCAAATTCTAATTGTGGCTGCTGCTTTGCTTTGCCACCATAAATCCTGTTCCGAGGGAGTAAGACAGCAGCCAATACATGAGCGTAGGCATTGCACAACTGGGCTTCTACAAGCACTTGGTGTGAAGAATAATGTTCTTAAAAGATTTAATTTCTAGGGAATGTTTAAATACTGGAGAGTAAACACTGAGTCAGAGACACACACTAAATACAGGTAAATGCAGCAGGGGCACGTGGAAGCAAAGCCG